CTGTCACTTGCCTAAATACCAAATAATACACAAGCCGAGTATGATGGACGATTACATTATTTTTAAGCCCTGTTCCTGAATACGGACCAATACGCAGACAGTGCATGATGGACGATTCCACTATCTTCTTTTATCCTTTTAAGCTTTCAAGGGTCCACAAATATATTTCCATTACCTATTCTTCCCAAAATTAATTTATTTCTTTCTTAGCTAACTATATAACACGCCACTAAATTTTATGATGATGCATACCTTAGTTTTTGCGTAATCTTGCTAACAGGCAGAAAGACAGTGCTGAATACATAACCTCCTTTCGCGGAGATAATAAAAAAAACCATAGTAATTGCATTCATATGAGATGAAAACATGCATTTAAACACCAAACCCAATAGTAAAATTCACATAATGAATCAAATCATCAATGTTGTTGGCAGGATGCTGTTTTTACGTGTAATGACCTATTTTTTTTAGGTCGATCATGTAAAATAAATCAACATTAGTTCTCTTTCTTTTAAAGAATACAATTACAACATATTTTTTTTTCTAAATATAAAGTAGATACGAGGACTTGGTAACGTTAATTGAAAAAAAAAAACAAATAAAAGAAGAAGGCACGATCCGAAAATTTGAGAACAAAATATGAAAGAGAGATTAATAATTGAGACAGACAACATATAAAAAAAGAGAGAAAAACGAAACAAAACAAGCAAACCAAATCAAATACAGACGAACAAAACTGAGACAGGCTGCTACAAAAGGGGAGGGAGAGATTGATAAAACAAATTAATAAGCTATAATTAAGTGCTCTTTCAGCTGGTTAGAAAAAAATATTACTGGAAGAAATATTAACTAAATGGGATGGTAACGAATTCCATAATTCCAAAAAGCTTAGTAACTGTGACATTGGGATGATGTGGCCGCTACTATTCTAGTGGAACATCAAAATAAGGTTAGAGATAAAACATCTATGACTCACACAGGGATCGAACTAGTGATCTAACTTACTAAAGACGGATGTGTTACCCTTTCAACCATAAACCATTAATTGTAAAACGAGATACCCAGTGGAAAAAAATGTTCAACTTTACATGAAACGCATTTGTGCGTAACAGTTATGTACAGCTTCAATAGAGCTTAACATAATCTACAACATGCCAATAGAAGGGCCTATGATATTGGTACCAGACATACATAGAAATGGTATTCGCTTCATGTACAGAAATTATATATATAACACTGTTATATTATATATAAATCATCAAAGAAAGGTAAAATACAGTGTTCGAATAAAGGACATAATAATACATTGTGTAGCATAGCTATCAACGGTAAATAAATAAAGAAATTGTGTAATAAAATTCCTCTGGCGGGACTTTATTCGTATACACTGTATTAACCTTTCTTCGATGATATATATATAATTTAACAGGTTAACGGCTATCTTGATTTATATTATATGCAACTATTTGTTTCTAGCCGTACATATTGTGTAATAGAGTGTATCTGGTGGTATTTGAATCTGTTCAACCATGAAGCCTCCGTGGTCTAATGGTTATGGCGCTCGAATTGACAGCGAGAGGTCGCAGGTTAAAATCCCGCCTGAGACATTTGCTGTTTTAACAACAGAACATAAGGCTTTTCCCCATTGCTTTAATAAGAAATGAAGTTGAAATTGCAACAAAAAGAAAAGTCGTTAAAAGGTATAATGTAAAAAAAAACACGGAAAACCAATATAATTTTAATGAAGTGGAAAAAATGTAATAAAATAATAATAAATGAATAAATAATAATAATAATAATAATAATAACAGAAATAATAATAATAATAATAATAGTAGTAGTAGTAATAATAATAATAATAATAATAATGTTTTATGATGACAAAAAAATATTGTTATCATAATTTTAAAAATTAATAACAATGAAGCAATTAATAATAGTATTATATTATTAATATTGTATTGCGTCACCTATTTTGAGTAAATAATGGTGAACTACTGTATTTATCACAGCTTACTTGAACCAGTTCAGAGATACAATAGGTTTGTACTACAATATTATCTACGGACATCATATAAAATAGAACAGACTGGACACACACGGTTTTTTTTTTTTTTGTAAAAATAGTAATGCTAAAAATAATAATAATAATAATAATAATAATAATAATAATAATAATAATAATAATAATAATATTAATAATAATACCAAACTATTCAACTGCACTCCTGACTGAACTTTTCAAGTTAAAAGCCGTCTATATAATTCTAATTAGAGGAGGAAATGAACAGATACACCATATTAACAAATGTATTTTACAAATTTGACGCGTCAACATTAATGAAGCTCAGCAAAGATAACCCTTGGACGTTTTGATTTGCCTTGCGGCATCGGCGATCAAAGAGAAAATAAAGACACACGCAGTCCTACATTGACATACTATTATTTAAATAAGATATTGAATCTCAGAGCGCTGGACATCATACACTAAAACAGAAATCAATTAAATTAATTTTCTTTGGACTTAAAAAATTATTACAATACTGTAATTACGTAAACAAGTTTTATTTCGAACACACGATATACATATGACCTATATTTGTTAATGTTCGACCCTCTGGTGATTTCAATTGGCTTGCGATGATAGAATTTCTTCACGATATATTCATTGATTTAATACATTCTTTCAGGGCTTCATAAATCAGTCGCAAGTAGAACATTTTAACATCATTATGATTTTAGACAAGATATCGCTCCTATGGGAAGCACTATTCTCTTTATGCATTTAACCAACTATCAAATACGAATATTTTTTATTTCTGTGTGTTTTAAGACAGGATCTTCGACAAGATCATTCTATGACGATTACTGAGCAGTATGCCTACAGTTGAACTTCTCGTAAGCAACTACCCCCGAATCCAAGGGAAGTGGTCGCATACGATAGGTGGTCACATTCGAGAGTAAATATCATGCGCGAGGCCCAAGCTTATAGGCCTATGTCATATCGGAGGAGTCACAGGTAAAAATAATCAATTAACCTACAATAGCAGTATGTAATCCTTTTACCGCCATCAGGGGTGGGGCCTATAGGGGCTGGGGTGACAACCTCCTACAGGGGTGGTTGCACAGAAAAGTTCATCTGTACTTATTAAAAACGTGTATCGATAGGCCTATCATGAACTCTTAGCAGAATACTGAGCCAGTTGTAAAACAGCATACCGGGTTTTAATTTACTCTTGACTTTATGTCAGGAAAATAACTGCAAGAAGGTGATATACATTGGGCTGAAACTTGACTATTTACTGGCCAGGAAATCAATTCCACTAGCTCAACTACTTGTATTGATATTATTCTTCTGACAAGAATCTTGAGCGACGTGCGGCACACGATAATATTCTTGTATATATTGATGCAACGATATATAATGTATTGAAGACTTAAACCAAAACAATTGGTGTGTCGATAGGAACCAACGGCTGTACATCGTCCCGAAGTTTGTGGTCCGTGCATCTGTTTGATAAGGCATACCTTCTTGACCACCCATCCCAGATGAGGAAATAATAATTGCTAAGTTTAACCTATGGCGCCTTGAGTTTTGACAGTTTATATAAACGATGCCGTATTCACCGACCAGATAAGTATAGAATGTCAACAAATTCATATAAATATTCGAGATCGATTCATACTTTATATATCAAATGATTATGGCCAAAGCTGGATGGTAGATTAATTTTAAATAAAATGACATATGGTAGTGATAAATTGTAGCAAGGATTTCTTAAGTCATCTCGAATAGTTTATCAAGCTTATTGGTTAATGAACTTGTGTTGTGTTCAAGAATTTCTTCGAATAATGTGATATCGTCTACTTTCACATAGGCATGCGTCATATAGTAACTTTTTCATAACATCATAAAATATCATTAGGCTCAAACTACAAATATGCCTTTAGTGAACCCATGTACTAAAGATATAAATTCAGACAATCGCAGAAACAATAGTTCAGTGAAATCTGTCCCCATAAAATATTAGAATCCTAGCAGGTACTAGCTGCTGAGATTTTCGTGCTTATTTTGTATCTTTGATATGATACGGTACTATTATCCAAGTATGAATGATATAAACCGACAATATAAACAGTCAGTAGTATACATGGTAATACATTCACCTTCCGCTAATGCGTATTAGGCCTATTGAAATCACATAACTGAAATCTGAAATTTTAACAGGCTTAGATTGACAAGCCAACCAAAAGAAAAAACAGTTCGATAATGGTAAGAATTGTAGAATGACGCAATAATTAAGACACATTTCAAACGGATGATCGATCGATGACAAGTTGGTTGTAGAATCACAAGTTGATATGGCAGAATAAGAACGATTGCTGGCAAAAAAAAATGATAGATTTGCAGTCAGATCCTCGTCAGACATACGAAAAACGACAAAGCAGAAACATAATAGCATAATGTATAATAAACCCTACACGTCCGGTTATTGTATATCCTCGAGCATTCATAGGCTTCTATGGATAATATGGCAGAAAGTGGGAACAACAACCGGTATTGGAGCTCGGACCTTCTGTTACAAATGCAGAATACCTTATCAACTAGCAACTGAAAAGTTGTAAATCTGAATCCTATTGGAAAAAAACTAACTTTTATTCCAGTGTTGCGCGTGGCAACACTAGTCTTCAACTCATTACGTGTAAACCTAGCTCAATATGATACAAACTTATTTATCTTAGCAATCTCACTTTTCCATAATACATACACTCAGAATTAAAAATCGGCCTAATGATTTTATGACGTGTTACAATAAAAAGATTATTTTGAATTGTTTGCAAGTAAGCACTTTTAATAATTTAATGTGCAGTAAAGAACATTTTAACCGGTGTGCTACGAATGTTTGCCATGTTTTTGAAATGATATTGAAATATAATAATATATTTATCGGAAATAATATGTATACCTAGTTTACATTTTTTTAATTTTCGTCTTATAGGCTCACGTCGAAGAGGGATGATAAAGTGTCATTAATCAATTCAAACCCGAATAGTACATCTGAGACATACTCAAATAGTAGACATAGCGTTTCCGTCAACCCACAATGTGCTTGCTGTAGCTGTGTGGCGAAAAGATACGTTCTTGCAATTTTCACGTGTGTCGGTTTAATGATCACTTTCGGTATCCGTTGTAACCTGGGCGTGGCCATTATTGACATGACCAATAATAACACAGTGCATATAAAAGGAAAAGAAGAGATACATGTAAGTATATCCATTTTTGATAGTGTTATATGAATATTTAATGAGCATGACCAGATATGTCGTAGGACAATAAATGTGGGCTAGGGTGTAATACATTGTAGCACAGCGGAATCAGAGTGCAGACGATTCTAATTTTTGTCCACAGAATGCATTTGATCAAAAAAAATTAAAGGTTTAGGGGAACTGTATATTTTGGTGATCCTTGTGGAAAAATACCCTCCATGTGCCATCTTGTTGTTTGCAAACATATTATGAAAAGAGGTTCTTTTTGTTGTTGGCCCATATTTCACTCCATCAAATCTGTTCAATAGTGTTTCGTAACCCTTTTTAACACCCTTTTCCCCCAGTTTTTAAATGTTCAAAAATCTGTATCTCATTCACCGTTTCCCAGTTTGTCGTCAGACAACTTTTTTCTGTCTTAAAAAATCAGTGCTACAACATATCAATTGTTTTCCTCTGGAGTCTGACTTTAAGTCAGATACTCACTGTGTTGTACGACGAATCCAACTCCGCTCCCGGTGAGCGTAACACGACTCGACGCAGACAGCTGATTGTCGGGTCACAGTCTGAACGGATCGTCAGTAAAAACGATCTGTTGCCCGAGCGTCGTGGCCTGGCGTTCTACAGAGAATCAATCACGCAGTGAGTGCCCGATTTAAGGTGGTTCATTATACACATGTATTACCAGCATAATTCTTTCTCTTAAGCCTTTTTGACGGGTCCGGTAATGAATTAAATTTCCGAAACTATGAATATGAACTATGTATCAAAACATGTACTGTCACAATTTAATAATCAACTAACTAGAGTGTTATTTAAATAAATGACAATCTACATAGTAGGCCTAGGTGAGAAGTCTACAAAATGCCTGACATTATTACAGACACTAATGTGATATGCTTGAGAAAACATAAACATCTTTCGTGACATTAATACCGATCCAAGTTTTTGTGATCTCTATGGTTGATTAGTGTTTCTGTGACTGTCAAGATTATATTTCGAATAATTTACTGGACAATATATATATTTTCTATAGTTTGATATATAGTAGCAACAGCTTGTATTTTTTTTATTTGTGTATTGTGACATATTGCAGTAGATTTAGCAAATGTCGGTCTGAAAATACTATACATAATAGCATCGTATTCATATGGTAATAAATGTCATCCAAATTTCGCAAACTAGAACATTGGACTTTTATGTAAAAATATATAACTATTAGCCATTAAACACATTAATTTGATCATATCTGAATAGGTTTGCAATATGTGTACCGATGCTCGAATAAGGGAGCGGTGATTATAAATTTTTTGGATGCTTCAGTGCGGCGCTTATTCGAGAGTGGCGATTATAAAAACTATTGGCGTTCCAATGTTAACCTACAGTACCGGTATCTCACTTATTCCAGTAGTTTTGTAGGCCTATCATAGGTCCTGCGTCATCGCAAATAATTGTTTATAAAGAAATGCTTGTGTCTTCATTGTGTTATATATTCATTTTAACACTGTATACATTGTATTTAAAACCCCGTTTGTCTTAGTGTTTCATTACACACAGAATATATATACTCTCGATTAATCGCCGCAGCACTTAGCGAAAAAATCAGGTTTGGTGTGGCGCTTAATCGAGATCGGAGGTTATTCAAAAGCGGTGCTTATTACAGTATTTACGTGTAAACACCTAGTAACGGTATGATGATTGTGTGAATACAGTGTGAGCATTATTCCACACTGTGTTCACACGGTGGTCTACATAGTCAACACGTTCATTCTGTACACACACAGTGTAAACCTCTAGGAAACTGCCCTATTTAATACAGACAACTTTGACTTCATATTCTTATTCTCCACATTATAAGCTTTAAAATGATAGGTCATTTGCTGGAATGGACTTTTTATTGCCAAAATTATGAGTAAAAAAAGTATTTTGTCTGTTCTGTACTAAATTATACAATACAGTCACATTTTTATGCTAATTACTCAGTTTACATCTAGCAAAATAACGCTGATGACCAAGTTAAAGAGACTTATATAATTTGCCACATATAAATCCAATTTGAATATATATAGGCCTATATATATATGACATTTAATTTAGTTACAATACATGATATATATCATTCAATTTAGGTATATAATATACTGAGGTTTTAATTTTTAGTCGAGAAAAATATACATTACGGTATTGTTTATTAGCAAGCTGGTTTCTGCTTATGATCTCTCTCAGTAAACATTAGAGCTAAGTACTGGTAATGTCAACTAATACAGTATCAGTCGGTACCGATCAATGACAGCGAAGTGCTTTTAAAAGAATACTGTCAATGAAAGAGTAACAAAAACATGAAATTATTATATAGCATTTATATAATAATTCAGGTATAGGCCTATCATATAAAATGTATCCATACCATAACATTTATATAGGCAATTAATAGATAAAAATAAATAAAAAATAAAATCGCATTATGCAATGTCTTTACAAAACATCCTTGTTACATTAAAAATGCTATTAACTTACCCAACAATATTATTTGTAAGCCATATGTAGACATTTTATCACGTTAAATGCGATACTAAATTTTTATATAATTGGGTATGTGGGGTGCGGTCTTAGGACCTGAGTGATCCTACCCCGGAATACATATTTTGAATGCACTGTACGTCAATGTCAATTTTGTTAATTTTATGGAAATGTTTTCCGAAAAAAAATAATGAATGAATGAATGAATGAATAAACAGGGGTGGGCCGGGGGGGGGGGGGGGGGAAGCTGTCCCCCCCCCCTTTTGGGGAGAGAAAGCACAATTCATCTGGGAGAAAAACAAGTTGTATGTATTTTCTACATATTAGTAGACACTAAAATCGATTAAATAAGACTTTGAAACCCCTAAATTGTTAAAATGTTCGGGTGCATCGCCCTTTGGGCCACTTTCGTCACCTTTTAATCGAAGCTCGACCACGCCCACATTGCTATTGTCGGGGAAATCTGACCCCTCGTTTGGGGAATCGGCCCCTGCCGGGGACATCGACCCCCCCGTCAGGGACCTCGGCTCCCCCGTCGGGCAAATCCTGGCGCCACCCCTGTGAATGAATAAATGAAAGAATGAATGAATGAATGAATATTATTATTATTATTATTATTATTATTATTATAACTTTTGTTTATATCTACCTCATTGGAAAATACACTAATGGACTTCAATCAATCATGCCTGATTATCTATCTCTCTCTGCTCGTGTAACCCAGTCTACTAGCATCAAACATCAATACATTGGTTTTACTCCAATCGTTCGCACTGCCGCCCACCTCTCCACTCAAGCTCCTTTGTCATCCGAACCTCGAAATTATCTCCCATTTTCTTGTTTCCCTATTGGCACCTCTATTCTTTGAATTCATAACAATCTCATCAACAGGTAATCTCATCAATCTCATCAACAATCATCATCAAAGCACCCTCAAACCTATCTAGCCTAATTCCAATTGCTCATTTGGTGCAGGGCCTTGTTATAGGTTTTCTAGTTATAAAAATAAATAATAATATAGTTGATGGAAGACAATTGAATTATGGTCAGGAAACATAAAGAGAGTAGCAAAAGTGTAGCGATTTTATGGAAACCTGACTTCAACAAACTAATTTAACTACTTTTCGTGCTGTTAAAATATTCACTTCTCTTTTAGTCAATCACGTGTGCTCCTACCAAGAAATTCAACAACATTTATAGACTCGGATCGATTCCACTTAACTAGAAACGGGACTGAGTTCCAGTCCTTGACTCCAGTATGATATAGAAATAGTGATATCACAAATATCATCACGATAAAACGTAAGGAAAAGATATAACATGACATCACATCATTTTTTTTTTTTTTTTTTTTTTTTTTTTAGGGTGATGTACGATCATTAAAGAAATCCCTCTATTGGCCTCTCTATCATTACAATCATGAAGTAAAAAATTAACAATAATGTTCCTTCTGATTGAACATTGATTTATCATCGACTCTTTGAATATTTTACTTGAATGTGGAAAAGATATACAGAAATTATTCAAGACTAATTTTCTAGTATTCATATACGCATGATTAGATTGACGTAGGCAAAGTTACTACACTTCAACGATTTATACATTAACACTAACCATATGCAAAAGTCACTTAAAGTAAAGCGAAAGCATATGAATAAGAGATGGAAAAGAGTAAATGTAAGTGCAAGCACAAATGATTCAAAACCAACTCTCTAATAGACGAAATGAACACCCTGTATTCTATAT